AAGGAGATTTTCTCCAGGTATGTCTGCATTCACTTTTCTCTTAACTTTAAGTTTTAATACACCAGTGGAGTGAAACGGAAATTGTGATAAATAGTTTCTCCTACTGTATAGCCTCTTAATATAGCCCTCTATGAATATGAATATGAACTATTCCGAAAACGGAAGAAAAAAAACGGCAACACGAGACAACGGCAACGAGAAAAATTTAATTTCCAATTTCTAATTTTTGGATGATTAAAATATTATTCCTACGCTGTGATCTCCGTGATCATAAAAATGAGCAAATTTTGAGGCTTATTTATATTATTTATTGCTAGCAATAATTTTCATCTGGGTAAAAAAAATATCACTAAATTGGCGATTTTTTTAAACGCTTAATAACTTTCAGAGTATTAAAATTATTGGTTTGTTTTAGTGCCCAGACGATCCTTTGTGGCAAAATGGAACATATAGTTTAAAATTACATCTTTGTTTCATGTTCAAGGCATTTAAATTGTGACTTCATACATTTTATTTTGTTAAAAGAGTTTTGAAAAACGGTGTTAAGCATTTGTGGTAATAATGACTTGAAAGTCGTCTTTTGAAAAAATGGATGAATTTAGCATTTCTCTGACAGAAATTGTTTCCTAAACCCAGACATCAACGAAACACTTTTCTTTTCGAAGAACATTTTTCAAGTTTATTTTTTCAAGAAGCGTTAATGTAGAAAAGATAATAGAGAGAAAAATAAGAGCAAACTATCATTTAAATGTGTCTTTATTTACATTTCAACAATAAAATTCATTATAGCACAGGTATCATACATTTTAAGTAATCACAAATAACAGCAGATGTCACTTTATCTTTGCTGAAAGCTCAAAAATGTTTCAATTCAACTTCGCACACCACTTTATTTCTGTTTATGAATAATATGAATCACAACTTCTTCATTACACAATCCTGCTCATTCTGCAAAATATGGGGCATTCTTTAAGCAATGAGAGGGAGTTTTTTTAATCATTGTTCTGAATTCATTTAATAGTTAAAATAATAGAAATCATTTAGTAGATTAAGTTATATTTTAAGCTTATTGTTAATGTTGAAAAAATACTTTTTAAGCTACACAGAAATATTTCCACGACCGAAAATAACTCTCTTTATATTTTAATTTTATTAATTAATTCAAAAAATTACAAAGCTTATTTTTTCAGAATTTATTTAAACAATTGTTTTTATTTTTAAATACAAGTTAGGTTTTGCTTAATATTTTTTTCATTAAACTACCACAAACTAGTTTTTTTATTTAATAGATATGCACTTTTGTTCTACATCATGTGTAAAATTTGTATTTGGTCATCTAAATCAATTTATGTTTTTCAGACAGATAAGGTGTCTTTCCTTGAGATTTAAGTTATAATATAATTTCAACTTAATTTACTTGTTTTGGTACTTTTTTTAAAAATAATTTTGAAACTGAATCTAATTTCAACGGAAGACAGAGTTTTTTTTTTATTATCTTTAAGTTAAAACGAAATTTATGATTACATAAACTAATTATAAAATTTTATTATCCATGCTGTTAAAGGAATTTTTCTATTTTTGTGCTTTATAAAAATATATTAATAATTGTAATTGAAAATTTAAATTTCGAATCTACAATTTGAAAACAATGATATATTTCTGGTCTCCAAATTACCTGTTCTATCAATTAATTCAATCTTTAAGTTTTACTTAGAACTCTCGAAACATATGTTTCGAGTGTGTTTTTCAGGAAGTGTTGTTCGAGTGTGTTTTTAGAACACAAAGAGTTACTTTGTTTTCATACTTCTTTGAAATTTTTAAGCACCAATTGTGAGCTAAAAAGAAGAAAAAATTGAAATAGACTGCCGTATTTCAAAATTTTCACAATTAAGGAGCGAATTGAATTAAAGAAGAGAATTAATTGAAAAGAACATTTAATTGACACTTCTTTCACAAGTTTCAATAAATCAATAAGGTAAAAATGTCCTCTTTCCTTTCAAAATATTAATGTTTCTTTAAATTTACGTATTTTGAAGCGGATATTCTCCTTTAATAAAAAATGGTTAAATTCCTGATTTTTCCAGATACGTTTCAGCTTATTTGGCGCATCACTATAAATTCCGTCCTCCGAATTTAATGGTTTAGCGCCAATATTCAGGCACCGATGCCAAAACCTTCAGCTACCTAAGTAACTGTCGTATACATAACGAATTAAAGGTCTCTGTATGGGCTGGGAAGTGATAATATTCTTGCTATCATAAAATTATCCATGTTACAATTACATAAAGTATGGTATTCATACGTAATTTGCATCTTTCTTCAGTTTCATTTGTAAATTCGCAATCACAAAATTCCAAATGCTATCTTGATCGACTTGGCGAATCAGTGTCAATTCCATCGTCCATGTGACTCGGTGATTCATCGCCATTACGCCATAGGGCATCTCTAATATCAGCACCAACAGACTCAGCTGCAGCAGCGGCTATCGTATGGAGGACAACGTCCACTTTCATGGTATGAGAAGCGTCCAGTGTAGTGGCAGGAGTAATGAACTTCACGTGATTGTTGTTTTTTGGCGTGGAGTTTGGCCGTTTGCTGGTGTGAAGAATCGAAGACTTTGGTGCCAATGCAGCTGATGATGTTGTGTTTGTGCCAGCAAATGTGATTTGCGTGGATTCTAGTTTGTCTCCCATTTCTCGTATGGAGATTTCTGGAGAAGAGCCACCGGAAAAAAAGGAGATTTTCTCCCTGGCTGGAATATCCAGTGTTACAGATCGAACCCTGAAAAAAATTGAACTCAGTTATTTTCTGACGATACAGATGTAAAATCAAAGGAAAAAAGAACATTTCCAAAATCTTATGGATCATTATTATGGTCTATTACAATAGATTAAGGCGGAAAACACCACAATTCTTATTGCTAAATGAAATTGAAAAGTCAAATTAAGATTTTCTTTTCTCACTAAAATTATCAATTAAAATATTTAGACCTTCTTGTATTTAAAATATTTAGATTCTCCTTGACATCAATCGATTCAAAATAAAACCTGCCGTTTATCTGTAATGGTAAAAAAAGGGTTAGTCAGACTTTGCTGTCTTACAACTCCAGAAACATTCGTGCAAACATTCTGAAATTTGAGAACAAGTGCAATATTAGCCCCAGTCTTCGAAACAAAAGTTGAAATTATTTATTTTGTTTGTTCAAAATGAACAGATGAGAAACAAGTTCTTACATTGAATTAACAATACGCATAATTTCAAATGCTGTAAATGTTTCCATTTTTTAGAACCAAGTATTTTAAAAATCATGTGAAACAGAGTTTGTTTTGTTTACAGGTACACTTTAGATGCATATTTCTATAGAACTAAATAATGCAAATGTGATGATAATTGAAATTTAAAAAATATATTTGTAGATTGCAGTGTTATTTCATCTGCAATATTGCTTGATTTCAGTACATTTTGATTACCATATGTCGATGGTCATCAATATTAAAACTTTGGTGCCATGTGAATTGTTCTTTCACGTGAATAAGTATAATTAAGCATTTATTCAAGTAATAAGTCTTTAAATAAGTACAAGCAAAAGTCACTTTCAATGAAATGAATTTTTAGAAATATATTTTGCTTAATCTAATAACGTTTCTAATAAGAGAAAAGAATAGTTAAAATAAGGTAATTATTTAAATACCATTTAATTTTACTTTAGATAACTTTCTGTTCCGCGCATGATTGGGTAGTGATAAAGAATACCTATTTATTGATTAATTACGAATATTTATACGATACCTGTTTATTGATTAATTTGTTTTTATTCAGTACTAGCCGCCAAAGGCGCCCAGCTGTCCGCCAAGCTAAAGGTTTTCACAAATAAAGTTTTTAAAACATAGCCGGAAATCTGAAGATTAGTGGACAATTAAAGTGTTCCTGTCCAGCAATTTTGTCTTCATATCCAGTTCTGCTGCAGATGTGTTATAGCTCTTGAGGATGTTTGAAATTATATAGCTACAACGCTTAAGAAAAAAAAAACTAAAATGCTAAATACATGAAAAGAACACGAAAACGAATAAATTTTTTATGGTATCAATTTCTATTTCTATATAATTTTTTATGGTATCAAATTCTATTTCTATATCTGTTACGTCAAGCACTCAGGTATTATAATTTGATCTAGTTGTGCTTGTATAATTTTGATCTAGTTGCGCTTTCTACGTCATTTTGTTAACATCGTTTGGTTTGTTATTTAACATCGTTTGGTTTGTTATTTCTAAGTTAACTTTCAAAAAATTGGCTGGCATCAGCATTTTTATTCTTTAAGTTGTTTATTTTTTCTTTTGGAATTCGTTCCTTTTTAGCGAAATGTTTTTCAACCTAATCGAATTCTTTGCCGACTGTTCTCTGTATATATAAAGAAAATAAAGTAAATATTTTTAAAGTGTTGTGAAAAGAATTTTTAGTTGTACAAAGTACTACAATATCGCTATAAAAATTATCGTCTTCGCTTAAGAAAAAAAAAATAGAGCGTGGAAAGAAGAAGAAAAACTTATTATAACAATTATGAACAGCGACAAATATATCAAAGCGAAGCGTTCTATTTACGTATCGAATATGTTGCCACATTTTTAATACAAAAGTTAAACTTTTCTCCACTTTAATAAATGTAAACTAATGCGAACTTTACAATTAAATTATTAATTCCTTCGTATATTATTGGTTTAAGTTGTCGAAAATTAATATTTCAATTGTGAGGTTCGCATTAGCATACATTTATAAGAGTGGGGAAAAGTATATGCATTTTTTAATAGTTTTTTGAATATGGCTCTTTGAAGACGAAAAAGCAGACGAAAAGCATAGACTTACAAAATGACTGATAACTAAATAACTAATCAAAATTTTTGAAAAAGAAAAAAAATACTTCTTCATTATGTCAAAACACAATTATGGGCCGAGTTTCGTGCCCGGGCGAGGCTTCTGGGGCGATATATTGTGATTACAGACAGACAGACACACACACAGCCGCGTTTATTATTATGTATAGATGTATAGATGTATAGATGTATAGATGTATAGATAAAGCGTTGGTTTTCAACTAGTGTAAAATAACTTTATTCTTGGCTATTTTGATTTTCAAATAAAATTTAATTCCACGTCTTTCCACTCTTTTTTAAAATTGCTCAAAGTCCTTTCCGTTTTACCTGAACTATCAGAATGTTCAATATTAATTCGATTGCACATAATAACAGATTTTATTCCATATGGTCTTATCTTTTGTTTTTTTATTCCTACTGTAGCGCATATTTTAACTAAAGTATTTTAAGAAATTGATTTGAGTAGACAATTATAAGTAATCTTTTAACGACATGTTCCATAAATTTTTATTTCTAAATATTTATAACCGGAAGAATATGATACTAACAGTTGTATCCGGTATGGTGCTAGCTGAAATGTGATAGCAAATCTGGAGAGTGGTCAAAAATTCGAACCCCATGAACCTAATTTTACTTTTTCTGTTTTTCAGGAACTGATTTAACTATATGATAAATTTAGCTTACTTATAAAACTTGTTTATTTTAATTGAATTCCTCTTAAAACGTCATTTTTGTATTTGTTTATTGTTTTTAGTGATGGTAAAAAAAATTGATTTTTTAGGTGTACAAATTCATAAACTATTTTATGTCATTTTAAAGGAAAAATCATAAATTTTAGTGTAATTAGTCAAATAGTTTTTGTCAAGTAAAAATTTTAAAGATATAACATTTTTGAAATTTTATTATTCAGAAACTTAGTGAATATCATTTAAATTTAAAATTTTTTTTTTGGTTTAAAATCATCCTAGAATTTTTGAATTTAGCAATTCGAGATACTTTGACCTTTTTAATGGAACTACCGCTCGTCTGCATGCAACTGGGACTATATTCTCCAGATTGCGGCTATACCCCCTATTTTGAATGTCAAGAATAAAAGTTAAATATTCCAAGAAGATGTTTTTGTGTTTGATATTGTAGATTAAAATAAAATCTTTCAAATTAATTAGCATGTTTAAGTATTACGCGATTTTAAGGATTACGGATTAAGTATTGCACATACTTAGGGATCACGATAGAATCTTAATTAGTGAAAATATCGATCATTAGATCAAAAGTTATTAAAGTGTTCTTTCGAATTTTTTTTGCAATGTACAGCACAGCTTTAGCATAGCCAAACGTAAACATAGAGATATTTTAACAAAGACTCATTTTAAAGGAATATTTATTTATCACGCATTTTAAAAATAAAATACCGATATTTATGTACCGTTTTCCTTGACATAAAAAAAATCCTCTTTGCCAAAGTATGAGAATAAGATATAGAGCTCGATTATAAAATACGACAGTAAGCAATATTTAATGCTGTAATAATTAAATTTGACGCAAACATTTCCCGCCTAATTTATTTCGTATCTTGAAATAATGGTTAGGAAAGCAGTTCAAAACATCTGCTCGGCGTGTATTTTCAAGCATCTGCGACAAGTAGATTAATGAATCGTGGATTAAAACAGTTAGTCATACACACGTGAACTTAGTCTAATGATGAAGTTTCTTTTCTACATTCGGCGCATCGTTAGTCTTCCCTCCATTCACAAATTAAGTTTATTTAAAATTTGGAACTCTTCTTCTCAAACTTATTCTTAATCTTATGAATGATTAATTTAAATAGTAAAGATTTAGAGGGAGATCCTACAGAAATTTCGAGATTCTAGAGATTCTAATTTTAATTATTATATTTTTTTAAAACATTTTGCATCTGGATGGATATTTATGGGTCATTATGTAGGACGTTTCATTTTATTTATACGCATATACACGGAAGAGCCATTACATTATGACCACACTGCTAATTACATGTAGTACCACCCTTAGCCCTCAAAACTGCTAGCACCCGCCGCGGCATTCATTCTGCAAGGTGCTGATAGGTAGTCTGAGGTATCTGGTACCAAGCGCTCACCAACTGGTCCTGCAATTCCCTCACATTGCGAGGGGGTAGCGTGGCTGCACGAATTTGGTTTTCCATGTAGGACCACAAATGCTCTATTGGATTAAGGTCAGGTGAATTTGGGGGCCAAGACATGATTTGAAAGT